ATGCAGAAGTAGTTAGATTGCACAAATCATACAGAAAAAAACAGTGGGGGATGCTGAATCAGCTTCTAATTAAGAAGCTGTAAATTGCATTTTATTTATTTTTTATTTTTATTTATTTTTTTGTGAATTGCAAGTTTTCTAGCTTCTGTTCTAAAATGTCTCATCATGTCCCAGACATATCCGACATCGAGGAGGACATCGCTCCTCGCAGAACATCACGACAACAAACGAGAGAGAAACGGACTCGCAGGTACAAACCCGTCATGTTCATAAATGTTATTCATGTAAAGAAAGATTTTTTTTTTTACGTCAGCATTTCTAACCCTAGAACCAGAGCTGAACCACCTCCACGGATCAAGTCTCGGGACTCTTCACCTGTGCGCGCTACACGTACTCATGCAAAAACCCACRCCCCTCGCAGAGGTGAACCTCACAAACTCACTTTCCTTTCAGAAATTCTCAAGAARAGGAGGCATTTAAACTATTTTCAGTGTTTGTATGATTACAAATAGATGCKCARACAGGAGAACRATTAAAAGATTTCTAACTATTCATTGTTGTTTCTTCAGTGCCATCTGAATCTGATACTGACCACAGTGCYACTCCTCCTCCTCCTGTCAAAAGAAACGGCTCAGAGACTAAAGACCCTTCCAGCAAATACAAGTCATTTTCATTTCATTCATGTTTCGTTTTGTTTTCACAGTTTTTTTTAAATGAATTCAACACATTTTGTCTGTTTGTACATATATGATTGATTTTTTTTCTCTGCACTCGTACGATATTTTATATTCTTTATTTGTAAGGGGTTTGTGGCCTCACCTTATACTTGTAAAAATACAGTTTTAATCTTTTTAAATTTAGATCTATAAAGTCCTCAAAGGGTACACTAAAAGGAAAAATAAATGCTTTAAATTGTGAAGAAACATTTTAATGTTCATTCCTCTTGATGCAGACACCTGTCAGGACTGCCCATCCTCCCAAACCCCCAGTCTTCTCCTGTTCACCCCACCTGGACCACGTCTCGGCCCTCATCCTCCGCCTCACGCCCCCGCAAGCCTGTGTCGGAGTCCGACTCGGACCGCAGCGTGTCCCCGCCCCTACGCAAAGAAAGCCCCCAAATAGACAACAGATACAAGTATGAACACGAGTCAGCTGCAGCTAGATGGCTTTTATGCACCATCAGACCATTCTCAACTGTCTTGTCCTTTTTTCTCTGCAGGTCTCTTTCTGAGCTTCCCCCTGCTGATCTGGGATCTTCCCCCATTCCTGTTCGACAGGAGCCGCTGAGGAGGGTCAACTCACCTGTTAGAATCCCACCCCCAGGTTTGAACGCACACAGAATCACTTTCAAACCTCGTACCTCAACTTCAATATTTCTTTAAATGTTTTAATATTTTATGATCAGCAGCTTAGTGGAGAAAAAACAAATCAAAAATAAAATGTAATGTTGTGCATAAAACTACTGTTCCCTGAAGGAGAGGAACAAGGTACCCCCCCATGAAGCAAGAGATACTGTATCATCACACACACACACACACACACACACACACACACACACACACACACACACACACACACACACCAGTGGCTCCTAGCTGAAGACACCTGCTCATGCTTTTGGCGAATAACATGATGATGATGACGAGCAACAGGCTTAGCTTGAATGCTAATGGAGCTGTCAGCTCAGCAGAATTCTAGCACCATCTCTTGGTTCTGCTGAGTATTTCCTGAAAGCCCACCTCTGAACGAGACATGAACATTTTTATGTGTGACTGATGAACAGTTTTCAGTTGTGTTCACTTACGTTGTCACATTACACATTTGGTTTGACTTGTGTGTTGAAGTTTTGATTCTCGACTGTAAATGTGACACAGTGAGTGGTCTGATGTATGGAGGGAAAACACTGCTTACAAAGACCGAGGTGTTTATTCTACAGATAAGTGTTGTCTTATGAGTTCTGCAAGAGCTGTTCTTCTTGTCGACACATGGTAGATGTTATGTAGTGAAAATGAGCCAATTTTTTTGTCTGTTTAGCATTTTAGCAGTAGCGAGGCTAAGCTTGTTGTGTAGTGGATTAGGATTAGGGTAGCTAACATTTTAGTTAGCTATTCCCACCACTGAATGAGATTGAGCCCCGCCTATCTTGTCCATTACTTACCCCTTACCAAAAAGTAGTAAATGCAAGTATACTTAAGTATACTAATTTTAAACTAAATGAAACAATGTAAACTCCAAGCAAGCTGCTGCTAAGTAGACTGTGGACATTTGAACAATTTAGCACAACAGCTCAGTGGACTGATCTATGCACTGCAGGCCAAGGTCAGAGTGAGTTTGAATTTGACTGGAACTGTTTGGTGCAGTCAAGTAAAATACCTGAATCTGCTTTTGTACATTTTTCCAATATTTTTCACTCAACATTAAGAGTAGAGTAGGAGCACAACTATAAGGTAATTTGGGGTGTACTGGAAAATGTAGGGCAGCACAGTGGCTCAGTTGGTAGAGCTGTTGCCTCTCAGAAGAAAAAGGTCGCCAGATCGAATCCCGGTCCGTAGACCTTTCTGGGTAGAGTTTGCATGTTGTCTCCTTGCATGTGTGGGTTTTCTCCAGATACTCCAGTTTCCTCCCACAAACCAAAATCATGATTGTTGGGTCAAATGGTATCTCTAAATTGTCCCTAGGTGTGAGTGAGTTGTTGTCTGTCTCGTTTGTCTCTGTGATGGACTTGTGACCTATCCAGGGTGTACCCTGCCCCTCGCACACTTTGAAAAGCTAGAAGTATACTTAAAAGTTTATTATAAGTAAACTAATAGTATACCTAGATTACTTTCAGTATACTTGAAGTGTGCGCCATTGAGCGAAGAAAAGAACAGCAAGCTACTGACTGGCTTCAGAACCTCACCTGATCAGGTAGTAAT